AAAATGATACAAAATAATGACTTAGTGTTGTAATAAAATTTTGTCAATTTTATTAAAAGCTAATTCCATTTCTTCACATAGTTAAGTTTCTGTTTTTTTAAAGTTCATTTCATTATATTATTTCCTAAGAGTGAGTTGGCTCAGTAAGACCATGACTGACAAAGACATATACAAAGTTAGCACCACACGTCTATAAATGCAGATAGCCACAATGACCCTTCCAATATGTATAAGCTCCCTCTACACATCCACACATATATTTACAGCTAATAAATAAAAGTTAAAGCTAGAGCATCATTACTATATGTGTGCGCATGTGTGTAATACACAGTCTTTAGAAGCCAGAATTCTCAGTGCCATGCACTGATTTGGTGAATCTTTTAAGTTTATGCACCATTGGTCAAAACCCAAATCCAGAAAATTACTGAATTAGCAATAAAAGGGGATACCAACAATAAATTATACATCATTTTATTTTTAGAGAGAATTCATTCCAAGACTGATGGAGTCAATCACATCACTTGTCCTACGTTGTATAGGCACAATCGCATGTCTCAGAGAAAGGGCTGAAATTCTGGCACATCTGAACTATTTCTATTCTAACACATCCCAATACATCTCTTGACCGTTCACCTTCCATATCATGCTGCATGAGGAGCAAACCAGCAGAGCTTCACACGTGAGCCTGTGTGCATCGCCCACACACTTCCGCAGCTGTGTTCCCAGCAACAGTCTCTGAGATATTTGACGTCTTTATCATTTTATATGAATATATAAATTGGCATTCTGAAAATATGAGACCTAGTTTATAAATAATCATTCACTCACTCTTGATTAGTTGTTAAAAACAACAACAGCACCCTTGATGGCACTTCATGTGGCTATGGCAACACAGGGTTCTTTTCCTTGCACACAATGGCTGATAAATGCTTCTTATGAATATATCCCAGTAACTTTCCCACATTTTACTTTGTATAAATGGTCCTTGTCTAAAATTTGTAGGAGTTCACATGATGCAAAATGTGAACTAGAACACATATTTCCTTGTCAAAGTCAGGAACGAAAGAGACAAGCTGGAAGTGTGGCTGGAGAATGACTGAGCCTACAATTGACTAGAAACTATTGGATATTGAATGTCTTCACACCATTGAAAATAATTTGAAAATCTGATGATAAGATGATGGTATCGTTTTCTTTCTGTGCAGTTCAAATTATGTCAGTTGAGGATTACAGGCTCATTTTCAACACCTAGAGAGCATTGTTAAAATATAGTCTTGAAACACAGGGAAAAAAAGAGGGGGAAAGAGAGATTAAGCAATAAACTCTAGAGCCTATTAAGAATTAATTGACCTAAATGTTCTACCTCCTTTCCCCTGTAACTTTGTCACGATGCCGGTCAACACAGGGACTGTTTAAAGGCTCAGAGCCTCATTCCCCATCCCTCTCTCCAAGTCACGTGTTCCTGGGCCACATCCCAATGGCAAGAGAGGAACCGTTTAAAAAAATCAGGTGTCTTGACTGCTAAGTAAATGGGTCTGACTCATGCCACAGAAAACCGTTTTCTATATTCAGATGTGGGGGAAAAAAAAAAAAACTTTGAGAAGGCTTCAGTCCAGAAAATCCAGAATTCCAATTAAAACTCCCCATCCCTCTCTCCAAGTCACGTGTTCCTGGGCCACATCCCAATGGCAAGAGAGGAACCATTTTAAAAAAATCAGGTGTCTTGACTGCTAAGTAAATGGGTCTGACTCATGCCACAGAAAACCATTTTCTATATTCAGATGTGGGGAAAAAAAAAAAAACTTTGAGAAGGCTTCAGTCCAGAAAATCCAGAATTCCAATTAAAATAGGAGATTCTAACCAATTTTAGGGTATGGCCAAACATGTCCCATGAAGGAGCCTTGTTTTACTATGGACCCAAACAATTCTTATTTCTTTCTCAAAGGATGAAATGCAGTGCTTTTCATATCTGCTCTCTTTTAATGTGGGAGGATGCACTATTTGGCCACTAGATTCCTCAAATGGAATTAGCCACTTTTTAGTGTTTGAGACTGTGTCCTAAAATAATGAACAAAGATATAGCTGGGGTTAATACTCAGTAAAATCCACTTTTAGACACGCAAAGCTCTGGGCATCCTTTGTAAAAGTTACTTCATTCATTTCACTCTTCGCAGAATTCATGTGCTCCTCCTCTCTCTGTAGATCTGCTCAGTTTCTGAGAAAAAGCAGAGGAAGAAGAGCAACTGATTATCTGCTTAGTGTTTTATAATCCCCTCCCTGCCCCCACCACTTTTCTGATGAAAAAGTACTGTACTCAACTGGAAATTCAGAACAACGATTGTGAGAATTAACCCAGGGGAGAGGTGGATAATAGGTCCAAGAAAGAGGCAGCCTCCTGGGAATGAAACACTCCAACATCTGTTTAGCCAAGTCGCAATAAAGAGTATCCTTTTCAGAGGACTGAGCCAAATGATTTCAAAATATAGAGGATTTCTTACTTCTGTAATTTATCAAGTGCAAAGCCTCTTTTGTTTTTCTTGTGATATAAGACTTTTGAAGAGTGAGAAGAGGCAAAAAAGAGAAGCTGTTATTTGATTTATTTATTTTGGTCACAGAGGAAAGAAACTGCAGATTATTAGTCTGATTCATAATTACCTTCTAGATAAAATTCAGATGCATTAAAAAAAAAAGCTGCCTAAATGTCTGTTGTTTCAGTAATCTTATAATCAGATGAAGAATGTATCATTAGACTTTCTCAGATAAATTCTTGTAGCTTATATAAATAAACACTATGACCAGAAGTGCTTTATAAACAGCTGGAGTTATTTCCTAATTTGGGGGATTTTGATTTTACATTTACATATAGATTTAAAGTTGTAGATAATTTAGGGAGAATGTACATGTACACGTGTGTTATTCGTGTGTAACGTAAGTGCATGTATAAAACTTCCTATAGGAGTCCCTTTCTAAGAATTAGAGCAAATGTGAAATTGCCTCAGCTTAGTGAGGAAGGAAAAATGAAACAACAGACCCCTTAGTCAAAAAGTCTCCACTTAGATAAGAATTGAGTTATTCTGCCTGGCTCAACACCAGAAACTATTCTCCATTCCAAATTTATCTCCAGCGTTCTTACATTAATGCTCTGATCTGGATGGCCACATCTTGTCATTCAAGGTACATATGCCATAATCCCATTTTTGTAAAAAATGAAAAATTATAAATATTATACATGTATAGATAAAGTCTGAAAGGGTGTAAATCAAAACGTTAATAGGGGTTATCCCCGGGTGACAGGGTTGCAATGATGTGCCTATTTTTCCTATTTATTCATAGTGAGCACATATAAATTATATTATAAACTGGAAATTAAAAATACTGGAGATGTTCCACATAGGGTCTTTAATACATTTTTTCTGAATAGGCAATTCTTTTTCTGTACTTTTGTGTATAAATGTAATTGGGAAAGAAGGAAACCAAAACCAATTGCTTTTTATATTTTCAGATGACGCTGTGACCAGCCTTTCCCATTGTTTCTGTGGCTTGTATGACGTGATCTACTATTTCTCCCCTTTATACCTGTAGCCCATTAGCACTTGGCATCTGGCAGGGGGACGAGCTGAGGAATGAAAATAGCATGTCCCGGGAATTGGGGAGGGGAGTGGGGAAGGTCACATGTTTGGTTTCCACTTAGTAGTGACGCTCTGGAAAGATTCAGCTGACAGCTGCCACATGGATTAGCCTTAAAGGTCAGGTAGGAAAGAGCCAGGAGTTGTTTTGAGATAGAAAAGAGAACAGCCTCCTGTATGCTCTCTCCACTAGCTCCCCATCTTTGTGCATTTTGAGGTGGGTGCTCAGGCCCGCCCCTCTTTTTGGCTCTCTGTCCTGGCATCTGCTCCACTTGGAGAATCAAGGACCGTGTGGCTGCAGCTGATGCAATGAGAGGTTTTACTTCCCTGGACACATCCTGGGAAGAGCTGCGCCCACAGCCATGATGACAACCACTGGACTTGCGTTACATGCTCTGCAGGTAGCATCTGTAAAGGTAGCAGGATGCAGTAGAGAAAAAAGCAGATGTGAAGGTGGTGGGGTAGTTCAAGAGGGAAAATAAGATCTAAAATGTGCACCTGGGATGAAGGTCAGAGCTGGAAGAATAAATAGAACAAGAAAAGAGGAACTATTGCAAAAAGCAAATGGACCCGTCTAGTATGTACGCAGAAGGGCTGAGAAAGGCCTGATCACCAGGACATTGCAAAAAGCAAATGGACCCGTCTAGTATGTACGCAGAAGGGCTGAGAAAGGCCTGATCAAAGTACAGTGCAGGCCTTTAGTTATGGGCTAAAGAGTACAGCAGGAAGCTGACTCCTTTGAGTGCAAGCTCAGGATGCCCAGAGCACTTTAGCCCAGGATGCTCACCAGCCTGACTTTTTATTCAGAGACTTGTCATGGCATTTCACAAATACCGCAGGTGCCTTTCCTTTCTGCAAATGAGACACTTTCTCCCTGGAACAGAAGATCACCCTGTGGAAGGAAACGGATGTGAGCACACCATGTGGAACAATAAAAACAGCTGTTCAGAAATGCACAGTTTGGTCAGGGCTGTTTAAATCCTACCTGATCATGCTGGTTAAATGGTTTGATATTTCTAATAATTAACTGTAAGACTCAGGCCACATCGAAATCAGAGGGTTATTTGAGGGCCTACCCCAGTGTTCAGCAAAAGAGCTAGTTAATCAATCTAGATAGGCATACAGACAACCCAGAGCAGCCTTAAATCATAGGCTTTCAGCAAGAGATGATACAAAATCAGCTTTCCTCTTAGCATCAGCATTAAGGGATTAGGGAATCAACTTTCAATTAGCCCTACTAGAGAAACTATGGCTCTACATAACCTTTCTGACCACAACATCTTTTTTTGGCTATGAAAGCAAATGCCTAAAGAGAAATAATTTGTCAGTCCTAACTTAAAGAGTCATTTTCATTAACAATAACAGCACACTATCATTTGCAAAATCCCTGCACATTTAGCATAAAAGGTTTCAATACTAGGGGCTCTCTGTGCAATTCATTTTATAGATACACATGGGGTGGCGGGTGGGGAGATTTCAAGATAATCTCAACCTTCCTTAAGAGGTTGATTTTAACCATTGAATGTCAAAGTAACATTTCTGAGGCTTGTTGCATAATGATTTTGTGCATGCAAGAAATAGTGCTAAACGAGATACTGAGATTCCTGACTTCTAATCCCAGTTCTCCCTCTGAATAACTGGGACCAATTCAGGATTTGTATTTCCTTGCATGAAATGCAGAAACACTATTCTCTCCCCAGCATGATAATAAAGGAATACTCCTAAAAAAAAATTCTAGGTGTAATTATCTAGCTCGTATACTACTAAAGACAAGGATTACTGAAGTTTCACCTGAATGTTAGAGGCTCCTGAAATCCTACCCCTAGGTAATGACATTAGGGTGAGTCTCAAGGGAATGAAGAAAAATAAATTTCATTACTTTTTTTGCGTCTCTCCTGCTTTTACTCTGATCTTCTCAACAGCAAAGCCGGGGCTGCTCCACCAGTCCGACCAGCTGAAGTAGGAGTCGCTCTTCCATTTCAGCTTCAGCATCAGCAGTTCCCCGATATCCACCTCCGTGTAAATGAGGAAGGAGTATGTCTTATTTGTGGAAACCTCAGGGATTACTGAAGTTTCACCTGAATGTTAGAGGCTCCTGAAATCCTACCCCTAGGTAATGACATTAGGGTGAGTCTCAAGGGAATGAAGAAAAATAAATTTCATTACTTTTTTTGCGTCTCTCCTGCTTTTACTCTGATCTTCTCAACAGCAAAGCCGGGGCTGCTCCACCAGTCCGACCAGCTGAAGTAGGAGTCGCTCTTCCATTTCAGCTTCAGCATCAGCAGTTCCCCGATATCCACCTCCGTGTAAATGAGGAAGGAGTATGTCTTATTTGTGGAAACCTCAGGCCTGAATAAAAAAATTAACCCATTGGCTTAGTTCTGGAAATCAGCTTCCCCCCCCCCCCTTCTCTCCTCCTAAGAGGTAAATAGCTTTATTGTTTGAGGGATATTTAAGAAATGCAAAAAATGTTCCACAGAACATTCAAGATGAATGTCAATGGCATTTATTGTACTCTAAAAGATATGCACATCCCTCTAGTCTATTCCAGCATTTATCCTGACAATATGAACTATTTAATACAATTCTTAAGGGAAAAAGAATCTACAAGCCAATCCTTTAAAGACATTATTCCCATTTTCTTGTACTCCTTTTCAATTTGTATTGACACATGAACATATTTTCACTTAGCTGCATAGTATGCATACAATTTTCTATTCTTTCTCTGTTCTCTTCATATTTTATCTTCTACTTGTTGCCATGTTTTACCTAGTTTTCTATAATTATAGCTTTCAAAGGCTAGATTGATTTTACTAACTCGATAAACCACAATTCATTTAACCACTGACTCAATGTTGGATGCTAAATTTCTAATTTATGCTGTAAATATAATAATGTGTTATAATAAATGCGCCATGCTATAAAAATGTTTTTAAATTTCTGTTGACTATTTCTTTAGGATAAATACTAAAATGGAGATTGCTCCAATCCATGTAATAACATTTTATAGCTACAGAAAGTTGTTACCATGCTGCTTTCCATTCCTGGAGGGTCCCATCAGTGCATGACCCAGTCGTGTGTGCACGTATGGCTCACCACCTCATCAGCACTGGGTATTTTAAAAGATTTGTTCACTTAATAATTATAAACAGATATCATGAAGTGGCCTTAATTTTGCATTTCCTTGATAAGTAGTAAGGGGTAACACCATCATGGGCTTTTTACTACATATATTGTCAATGCATGTTACATGTGCATCTGTAGAGTGGTTTCCTGTAACTATTGCTCATCTTCTTTGATATCAAACCTTTTGAGAGAATTTAATTGTTTCATTTTAAAAACAGTTATATAAAAATGATGAAAGAAAAGATAAATAAGCATAGTGAATAAAAATAAAATGGCCAATTTGAAGAATTAATTCTAATTTTTTTTTTTTTTTTTTTTTTTTTTTTACTGGTAAAGGGATCGTAACCCCTGGCTCGGTGTTGTGTGCACCACGCTCAGCCAGTGAGCATACCGGCCATTCCTATATAGGATCCAAACCCGTGGCCTCGGCGCGGCCAGCGCCGCACTCTTCCAAGTGAGCCACAGGGCCGGCCCCAATTTTGAAATTCTAACTTCTTAAACTAGAGACTTATTTTCTAGGTCTCCTACTCCATTTCTGTTCCTGAGACCAATGGTCATGGCAGGTCGCAGTGCCAGATGAATCCACATGCTGGAGGTGACAGCCTGTGCTACTCACAGGGTGAAAGGGATGTTCTCACTCTCGGCCACGGTGCCATACAGAGAGATCTCGAAGGCCTGGTTGGTCTGCGTGTCACTTTCAGTCCCAGAAAAATGAATCTTTACTTGGTAATGGAAGACTGTTGGGAAGGAAATCAGAACAAGTGCTAATCAGCCTTTATGGAAACATCACAGTCCCCAACAATCAGGCAACTCAGAACCACAGAGCGTGTCCCACTAGTGCCCAAACAGGAAGCGCACGCACATCGCACTATCGGTGAAGCTTGGAAAGATGTCTTCTTTCTGTGCAATGCTAACACCTGGAAAATGCAGACCTTGGGTTCTGCTCCCTTTTGGAAAAGGGTGGTTGTAGTGAGTAGAAAAAACTCCGTGTATCTGAATTGCCAAGTGGTCCCAGGAAGTAGGTATCTTCGATGGGATGCTAGGAAGATCCAACCAAAATGCCAAAACACACCTGACCGATCCTCTAGGATCTCCACCCTCCTTGGCCGTCTCATCCCTGAACATCTGTACCAGGCATATTTGGCATCTGTTACCTGTCACTGTATGTGACTGCGTGTCTTGTTTCATGGGTACATCTGCCTTCCCTGCCCTGGTTATAAGCTCCCTCTGGCCAGAGGATCATGCCCATCCTCTTTATTCTCTGCCAACTGCACAGAGTGGGTATGCAGTAGGCTTGCAATGAAATGGATTTCATTTAACCATCACTGAGGTCATCAGGACTGCCTTGCAAAGCCAGTTTCTAAAGTGTTCTGAATAGGGACAGCCTCTGGGAGCAGGTACTTGAACTTCTACATTTCCTCCCTGTTCTTTTCCCCATCTCTACCAAATGCCCCAAGCAAGTGGGATTGGAGAGGTTAAGGGATAGGAAAGGCAGAAGACCTAAAACACAGCTACTATGATGGGAATGAAAAGAGTTATTGGGATATTTTTTCTTCTATATCCCAAGATCCTTAGTCAGATTTTTTCTTATTTGTGTTGATTCTATTAAATGCACTTTCTCTTAAGGTGGGATACAGAATATGGCAAACTACATTTTTATGCTACTTTAGACATTTGTCCTAATGAAAAAATTTCAATACGTTCTATTGTTGCTATGCACTTCTGAGGACAACCTCTACTTTGTTTAGATACACTTCTTTTTATAATAAAAATAGCCAGACACTAAGCAAAGACAAACAAACCAAACAACAACAACAAAACCCCACAGCTATTAAAAGGTGAAGAGAAATTGAGTTTGGGGTTAAGCAGAGCCCTTACAGGTAGCACCACAGGCCAGAGCAGGAGAAGGTGGCAGACCCGAGTGCCAGCAGACACTGACAGAGCTCTGAGCAGGCACGTGCAGAATGCTAGGGATGGGTGAGGCTCATCTGTGTGTTCAGAAAATTACAGTCTCCTTCCTACCTCCCTCGTTCTGAAGAATCAGGGAAACTGAAAGTTCCCCCATTGCCTAAAAAGGTTTCCTTGAATTACAGATGCTCCAACCTCTGAGTCACCAAATGCACCTCTCCAGACATCTAAGATCCTAACAAACCACCTCACGAATGGGCACCTACAGCAGATATATCTTTAATAACACCCCTTCCCTCAAGCTTCTGCCTGGACTCCACATAAATAGTGGAAAATAGTCCCTCTGGCCAGATTTATCTGATCACCTCCTCTCCTGTTCCCCCTCCATTCCTTCAGGTCTTGCTCCAAGCCAGATGCCAAGCTTGAAATTCAAGTTTGAAACAAACGCATGGAAAAACTGAAATATCTTAAAAGATGTGGTATATTCTTGCCTCCCAGGGATAGTTGCATTTTAAAATACATATGGTTCCTGCCTTCATGCAAAGCAAACTTTAGAAGTCGTAAACTTTCTATAAAGGGCTAGAGTAAATATTTTACGTTCTGTAAGTCATATGATATTGATCTCAACTACTCAGCTCTGCTGTGGTAGCGTGAAAGTAGACTTAGACAATACGGAAACAAATGTGTGTGTCTGTGTTCTAATAAAACTTTATTGACAAAAGCAGGTGGTAGGCTGGATTTGGTCCAACGGCCATAGCTTGCTGATCCCAAGCAGATGGTTTCAAATTAGCTCTGAGCCTGGTGCTGATGGGCTGGCCAGTGCTAACAGTCACAACTAACAGCGTGATGGCAAGGAGGGCTGCAAATCCCAGGCTGTGCACTGGGGCCTTCCTGGCAATGGGAATTAGGAGCATCAGTAACAGGGATCAGTGCAACTCCCTCTCTATGAACCAAAACACAAGGGAGGGCTCAGGATTTAGCAATATCACTATCTCTGTTCCAACGGACAGAATTTCCATGAAGTGCAGTGAGCAGGATAAAAATAGGACTAATTGATTTTCTTTATTAACAGCCGTCTCCAGCCTACCTTTGTAGGGCATCTGAGAACGGGTCTTCAGGTACATTTTGCTGCTTCTTTTGGCTCTGACCTTGTTGATCTCGTAGCCCACATTGTTGCAACGGTTCTTTCTGCAACTCAGACAGAGCCCTTTTTCAAAGGCTTCCTTTGAATTGCACCGGTAGGCCTTACTTGGATTTTCTTCATTTAACAGAGAGTCAATGAAGAGATGAATGGAGCGCTCATGGGAACACTTCACTAGTTGGTCCACATCTGGGGAAAGAGAGACACGAAGAAAACTTCAAGTCTGCAGAAATCCACAATGGGTGTTTCAGTATGCATGTCTAAAATAGGTTAGTGTGGTGGTAGAATAAAACAACCCTAGGATCTAGTCCTAGGCATCTATGAGTGTAGGCCCTATTTTAGGGGGTCTTCTTAGTGGCAGCTACTCACCCACCTCCAAGATTGTCAGAATTGCAAGTTCACAGGGAATCTCTGACTTTTCTGCTGTTTTATATTTATAAGTATGTTTATGAAGCCATAATAAGAGACATCCAAGGTAGAGGTTGATTCCCCCCAGTTTATTGCATTCTTCTCTTATATTGAAATTGTCTAATATTTCTAGTTGCTTCTAGAAACATACTTCTAGAAACCACATTATAAAGGGCATAACTGTTACATGAATAGTAGTTCATCATAGATATTATGTACAATTGAAGGTTGTGCCTCTATTAATGCTTTTTACCTCAAATAAACCATAGAAGTAATCAGCAATACCATAAGAACAGATTTATTACCACAGCTTTTACAACGATTAAAAACAGTATCATTATGCTGTTAAGTGTTATAACGTGTGTGCAAAAGTACTAAGCATATTGACCACAGGCAGGTCCCAATGTCCATGAAGTATGCAAAGGGGCCTTAAAAATAAAACAGAAATTTAACAAGCTAACATGATTATTAAAGTAAATATTAAGCTAATATTAAATTATTTTTTCTTCTTAAAACTTTGGAAGATTTATCACAGGGGAGTGGTGGTTTGTTTCTGATTTACCCATTTTCTTAAAAAGGCCAGGGCCGGCCCGGTGGCGCACTGGATAGTGCGCCGCTTGGGAAGCGCGGCGGTGCTCCCGCCCGAGGGTTCGGATCCCACATATAGACCGGTTCCCGCTCACTGGCTGAGTGAGGTGTGGGAGCAACACCGAGGTTTGCGATCCCGTTGCCGGTCCCCGGTCCGGTACGGGGGCAACACTGAGGGTTGCGATCCG